ATGCCAGGTGTCCCGGGCACCCTGGGCCCCTCGTCCACGTGTCCCCTTGGGTGCAGGGGACACGGGCCAGGTGGCCGGGCAGTGCTGACGAGCTCGAGGTATATCAAGGGCCGGGGACAGGCCTGCGCGTGGGCACCCCGGGGTGGGGGGACGGTGGGGAGCCGGGTGGGGTGGGCGAGGCTCTGAGCAGCAGGTGGCCTTGCAGGTCCCTCCCGCCAGGTCGCGCTGGAGTGTGGCTGGGGTCGGTTCCCCAGAGGCAAAATGGGTATTCAACTCGGGGACACGTCACCACGGGGCCACCACCCACCTGTCCCCTCTCCAGAGCTGGGTCAGAGTCCCTGGGAGGTGACCCGTGGTGCCGGGGCCCAGGACAACTACAGGAGGAGAGGCCACAGGCCCACGTGCGAGGCCCGGCAGGAAGGGGCGGCCCGGGGACCCCGGGCTGCCATTCTGGGGACAGCTCGGGGACATGGGCTGGACCGATCGCATGTAAACAGATAGGCTAAAGTGCAGGTGTCGCCCGGCTGGCCCGTCCCCAACGGCCACCTGGGCCCGGGGCAGCCTGGCAGCTGGGTGACGGCCCAGCTCCGCGGGGTGCCCCAAGGTGGAGGACGGGAGGGGACCGGGGGACTGAAGGTGACACAGAGCTAGGACCCCGCGGCTGGGGCAGAACTGGAAGAACTGGGGACTCTGGTCTGGAGCCAGCGTCCAGGGAAGACTTGGGGGACACGGAGGCCCGGGCACGAGCCGGGAGGGAGGAGGGGACCCAGTGGGGTGGGGGTCTCCCTGAGACAGAAGTTCACCCTCTTGTCACCGACCCCCGGGGGGTGGGGGGGGCGGCTTCCGACCTGATGTCCACTGGCTCACGCTGCTTAGGAGGGGAGGGGACACCGAGGTGGCAGCCCAAGGGGGTGCGGGGCCTGCGCGTCCCCGGTGCCCGGGGTGGGTCTGGCCACAGTTAGCTGTCCCTTAGGGTCCGTGAGAATCTTCAGTACCATCGAAAAAGTGGAGCCTGGGGGGTGGGACGGGCCGCTTGGCCGCTGTGGGTTTGTGACCAAGGGACAGATCCCTCTCAAAAAAGTCAAATTAAAATTGCAAAGGAAACGCGGGTCTCTAACCACCTCTATGTTCAACACTTGCAGTTTGGGAAGCTCAACGCAGACTACACGCTACACGTTCATGCAAACCGGGGCCCGGGGTGGCGGGCGGCCTGTCCCCCGGGGACCTGGGCCACCTGGGCCACCTCCCCCACCGCCCTGACGTTTCTTCCAAGTTGCTCCTGGGACCCGGTGGGGTCCTCTCCGTGGACGGCCCTGCCCCACGGGTGGGGCCACATATATATATACAGACAGAGATATATATATGTACAGGTCTGTCACCCAACTCGTCCCGTCGCTCACGGAGGGCATGAGCGGGCCGCGGCCGGCCTCCAGTCCCTCGGGCCTGAGGGGACCCAGGCCGCGGGGTGGCCCTGGGGCTCCCCCAACAGATGCAGCAGGGTTTCTGGCTGCAAAATCAAATCGGTCCCCGGGTGTCCGATGGCTCCGGAGGGGCCAGGTGCTGCTGAGAGCCGGACTGGAAGCTGCTTGGTGGGGGCTGGGGCAGGGAGGCCGCAGAGGGAGGCCGAAGAGGGAGGCTGCAGATGGAGGCCGAAGAGGGAGGCCGGAGGCCATGGCCTGCTGCCTCCGGGAGCCCACCCTGTGGGTGGCCGGGAGCCGGCGCCGGAGCAGGGCTGGAGGGGAATAAATAACGGGAGCATGCGCCCTGTGACCGGAGCCCCAGCCCGGTGGCTCCCAGAGGCACGGTCCTGAGGACAGAGAGGGGTCGCCTAGTCCGCCAGTCACTCGGGGGCTGGGAGTGGCGCCCCCTCCATGGGAGGGGACGGCCTCTCTGCAGGGCAGGTGGACGTGGCCCTCCGGCTCGGCCGCGCACAGCACGCGGTGAATCTGACCTTGGCCGTGGGCAGCAGGCTCGGCTGGGCGTGGAGGCCGCGGGGCCTCGCTCCTCCTCGGGCCGCCACCAGGTCCCGGGGACCCCCAGACTCTGCGCGCGGGTGGCAGCCCCCGTCCTGTCCTTCCGCAGTGGGCCAGGCTGGCCGCCCCTCGTCCTGGAGGGCTCGGCCTCAGACCACGGCCACTCAGAGGCCACCTCATTCTCCCACGAAGGCCACTGGGCAGCGCTTGCCAGGTGGCCCAGGTCCCTGGGCAGGGCCCCGGGGCGGGCAGCCCGGGCACAGAGGTGGCGCGGTGGGCACCGTCACTTCCACACCCAGGAAAGCGGCCCCAGGAAGCAGGGGGGGGCCGCGCCCTGGCGCTCCGCAGCTGGGCCAGGGCTGTCCCCCGGTCCCCACGCCAGAGCCCTCTCCTCCGCTCCTGCCGGTGGTCACCAGCTGGGCTCAGCTGCTCAGGGCCATCGTGTCCACCACCTGCTCCAGCTTGCTCCGCAGCCGCTGCCGCCGCGCCTGCTCATCCTTCTCCAGGGCCGCCAGGATCTGCAGGTCAGGGTCAAGGTCAAGGTCAGGGTCAGAGTCAAGGTCAGGGTCAGAGTCAGAGTCCGGGTTGGGGTCAGGATCAGGATCAGGCTCAAGGTCAGGGTCAGGGTCAGGGTCAAGGTCAGGGTCAGTCCAGGTTGGGGTCAGGGTCAGGGTCAGGGTCAAGGTCAGGGCAGAATCAGGATCAGGGTCAGAGTCCAGGTCTGGGTTGGGGTCAGGGTCAGGGTTAGGGGCGGGACTGGCCGCCCCTCGGGTGGGGCAGCAGCAGTCACACTAGGTGACCGGCCTCTGCGTGTGCCACCAGGGCCCCTCTGGCCACTCCTGGCCCATCTGACAGCACCCTGTCCACAGCAGCTCAGAGCAGACGCCAGGGGGGCCCTCCATTCCCGGCTGCGGGAAGCAGGCTGCAGCCTGGGCAGCCCTGGACCCCCACCCACACGGCAGGCTCCATCCCCTCCTGGGGTGTCACAGCAGAGCCCCTCTGTCCCACTCTGCCCTTTGGCACTGTGGAGGTCACCTGCGACCCCTGGCTCTCAGGTCACCTGCTCGAGGACTCCCCACCCTTCAGGAGTCTCATGTGGGATCCCAGGGCTCGGGCTGTCCCCTCTGCTGCCCTAGATATGCCCCTGGTCTCTGAGCCTCAGCCTGAAGGCCCCTCTGTGGCGGGTGACCTGGGACCCAGCGCGGGGCTCAGCCTGCAGCTCCCCACACCCAAAGACCCTGACCCCAGGCCCCAGACCCACGCCTTCCGGGGTGGCCTCTGCCACCTGTGTGGGCAGCCAGCCTGTGCCCTGCCCCCACAATGCACCTGCGTCGCGGCTCGGAACCCAACAGGGCTCACCTGCTCTCTGCGGCCAAGCCTGAGCCCCCCAGCTGCCCACCAGGGGTGGCCTCGTCTTGCTGCCCCTGGTTCAGTCCCGTGGCCTCCCATGGAACCCAGTGCCTGGGCACAGGCTGCCCTGTCCTGTCCTGGGGTCCTGTGTGCCCATCAGATGCATCCCAGGGGACAGTCCTCCAACTCGGGGATGTCCACCGAGCCCAGTGACATCCAGTGACTTGCAGGAGTGTCAGGAGGGACCCACATTCTCCCGCTGCGAAGGCCACGCCACCCGGTCTCCCAGGCTCCCTGCCCTGTGTGTCCCCGCTGGGACCAGTGCTGCCCGAGCTGTGGCGAGCCCAGACCTCCTGCTCGCTGGCATGGTCCCCTCCCGCCACAGGGCACTAGGGCTGCCGGGGGCCGCGGGTGGGGGGGCCTGGAGGGCTGAGATGCGGGATGGGGGTGCAGGGCGCGCGGCTCACCTCGTCCTTGTACTTGGTGATGTAGGAGTAGATCTCGTGCAGGGCGCTCATGCTGTTGAACTGGCTCAGGTGCAGCCGCGACTGCTCCGCCAGGTACGCGCTCATGTCCTGGTCACTGATGGCGGGCATCTTGGCGATGTCGGCATAGTACCTTCCAGAGGTGGTGGGGCAAGTGAGTGAGAGGGTCCCAGCCCCCAGGGCCCAAGCCCCGCCCCAAGGCCTAAACCCCGCCCCCAAGGCCCAAGCCCCGCCCCCAAGGCCCAA